ATCACTCTCAGCAATGAATTTTGTATATGAAATATCCTTAAGCTTTTTTTGCTTTGTAGCACCTTGCTTTGAGCGTGTAGCTTCAGCAGGTGTACATGGGCTCTTTTCTTCTGAAATCATTTTCGGAAGTTTTAGGGATTGTACTGCTTTAGATTCTTTTGAATCTGAGCTCATTTAGAAGATGTATAGAATAAATTAAAAACGTCTTAGTGAAACTAGACTTGTAGATGTTTAGAAAAAATTGCGTTTAAAAACTGATGAATAGAAGACTCATTTGTGAGTAAGAGTTTCAAAAAATCGATAAAATCAATTGCTTTTTGGTAAACCGAGATTTCGAAAAAATATTTTTTCCTATATATATGTATTAATTTGATTTGACGAGAACTCTTTTAAGTAAATAAGAGTTTTCAACGAAATTGATATAAAGATAACGCTTTACGCATTTGATAATATACTCGTACTTGTATGTAATCGCGAACTCATTCATGTTAAGAGGAGTTTTAAAATGCAATAAATAATTAATCGATTAAATTTGATTTAATTATTTTTTAATATCCGGACATATTTTATGTATTTTATTTTGTATATATATATTTCTTTTATATATGCTTTATGTCCAAATGCCCTATAGGGTATATCTATAGGTGAATATTTTATTTATTATGTGCTAATGAGCGCTCGTATTAGAGATCACTGCACTTTGTACATATGCATGTATGTACATATGTATGTATTACGTTTTTTACACAATCCTGCTTGTTTTTGTTGATCAAAAATCAAGGGGTATTGCGGGACATATGCCAATGTGGACTTCGAATATATTTTATACGCAATCCTGCTTGTYTTTGTTAGCCAAAAACCAAGGGGTATCGCGGAACATATGCCGATGTGGACTTTGAAGCAGCAGCGTATCCACATATATGACAATGGCCTTACATATGTATAAATATTTTAGTATGTTATCAAACTGCCTTTTTGTTATAAGTTGTACCCGATGTCGATCGGGTATGTTTTTTAGCATATGTTGTATATATTTGTATGCGCCCGTATGTATGTATATATGTATATATACGTATATATGTATATATGTACGCGGTACGAAGAAACGACGCAACGAGCATCAACCGACCGTAGGTAATTTTCGCAAATTCACTTGTTAATAAGTATATAATATGTATGTATAACTGCGCCGCATATATGTACATATGTAAGTATATATGTTCGCAGTGCGAATAGGACGCGAAAAGAAAATTTAATGTTATTCTGATTTTAGCATATGTGTATGTATGTATATATTTTTAAATGTGTATGTTGTTGTGTATGGTTAAACTAGCGAAAGAGCAAGTTATGCTCTTTGTATGTTATAGAAATATATGTATGTATGTATGGTTTAAAATTTAATTCGCAC